AATGGATGAATGGGACTAAATCCAATTGAGTACTTTTGCACCTATCACACTGGAAACAATAACTTCTTTCTGTATGCTGGTTTCATGGGCTCTTTGCTACATACTCCCAAATAATTTTGCAGAGCCCCACAAAGGCTTTTAATAATAAGAGTGAGCCTAAGAACTTCACACACATGCACTTACTGAACTTTTACAACAACCAGAGAGATGAGTACTCCTTTTATATGTGAGGATACCGAGACAAGCTGCTTAATGTGCCTGAGATCTCAAACCAGTTGAAGAAAGGCCACGGTTCTCACCCTGGGGCAAACGTACCCCCACAGCCTGGATGCTGAAATACTGCCATTCAGAACCCCCTTTAATAACACCCAGCTGCTTCTATGACTGACAAGGACATGTGCAGGGCTGGTGCCGACAGTGCCCATAAGAGTATAAGCTGGCACAACTGTCATCCTCCTGGTCAGACTACTGTATCTCAAGATCAAACTTAAAATAGGGGCACCTGGTTGGCTCAGTCATCAAAGTGTGTGACGCTTGATCTCAGGGTTGTGAGTTCAAGCCCCATGTTGAGTATGGAGATACTTTAAAAAAATAAATAGAATCTTGGGATGCCCGAGTGGCTCAGGGGTTGAACGTCTGTCTGCCTTTGGCTCAGGGCATGATCCTGGTCCTGGGATCAAGTCACGCATCAGGCTCCCAGCCTGCTTCTCCCTCTGCTTGTATCTCTGCCTCTCTGTGTGTCTTTCATGAATGAATAAATAAATAAAATCTTTAAAACTAAATAAAATCTTAAAAAAAAATCAAACCTAAAATAAACAAAGAGGTACACTAATACACTAAGATTTTTCATATTCAGATGTTCATGGATAAATTATTTAAAAATGGAAAAACAACAATCCAAATGGCCAAACTTAAAGGAATGACTGAATAAATGATAGCACAAATATTATGGGACACTGTACAGTTATCAAAAATCACATTCATAAAGTTTCAAGACAATGATTAAATGATGAAAGTATGTGATAATTACGAAGGTATCATATGGTCCATTAAAAATTGCATGTAAAGGGATCCCTGGGTGGCGCAGCGGTTTGGCACCTGCCTTTGGCCCAGGGCACGATCCTGGAGACCCAGGATCGAATCCCATGTCAGGCTCCTAGTGCATGGAGCCTGCTTCTCCCTCTGCCTATGTCTCTGCCCCTCTCTGTGTGTGTGTGTGTGTGTGTGTGACTATCATAAATAAATAAAAATTAAAAAAAATAAAAATTCCAGTATTTAAAAAAAAATTGCATGTAAAAAGGCTGGGAGGAATATGCTAATGGTTAAGAGCAAACATGAACATGTTCATTGGGTGAGAAATTTGAGAAGGCTCACCACCATCCTCTAGTTCCTGAAGGGCAGGTGCCCAAAAACATACTGAATTTCTTCATGATAGGATTATGAGATCATTTTCTTCCATAGCTATCACATCTGAATTTTGAATGAAAAAAATTTATATAAAAATGTTTAAAGGCGGGCAGCCTGGGTGGCTCAGCGGTTTAGCGCCACCTTCAGTCCAGGGTGTGATCCCGGAGACCCAGGATCCCTGCGTGGAGTCTGCTTCTCCCTCTGCCTGTGTCTCTATGAATAAATAAATAAATCTTTAAAAAAAAAAATGTTGGGATCCCTGGGTGGTGCAGCGGTTTGGCGCCTGCCTTTGGCCCAGGGCGTGATCCTGGGAACCCGGGATCGAATCCCACGTCGGGCTCCCGGTGCATGGAGCCTGCTTCTCCCTCTGCCTGTGTCTCTGCCTCTCTCTCTCTCTCTCTCTGTGACTATCATAAATAAATAAAAATTAATAAAAATAAAAATAAAAATAAAATGTTTAAATGGAATAAGCCTGAAGTGCAATGGTAACAATGAAATGTCTCAAGGAAGCACCCCATTGGTTCACTCCCATCTTCCATCTCTGAAGAGTCTGGGTCTGCTCCTTCTCTGACCTACATACAATGAGGTCGTATTTACTACGCTGCTCCCTGAGGACCAGTACCAGGTGCTCAAGGCATGCTTCTGGACTACTATGCCTTTATCAGCATGGGCCTGCTTTCATTCCAGCTGGGTGGACCCCAGGTGAGTCTGAGGAGGAGAGTCCCCACAATGACTCAGCCCCTATGATGCAGGAAGATCTCAGCTCCAGGTGTGGGGTACTAGTGAGGAACATGGAAGGGTCAGTTGCCAAAAGCACTGTCATTGCTTCCTTGAAATGCTTCTCATAGCAAGCCAGGGGCCCTGGGCAGTGACTGTAGTAAGGACACAAGAGAAATAGGAAGAGGCAGTGGAATGGAGAGAGCAGCTGTGGCCTACTGTCTCTGGGCCCAGCTTCCCCTAAATGGAAGGTGAGGCTTTGGTCTGGACACTCCCCACCCAGAGCCTTGACTGAAGTACATTGCATTCTATCAGCTGGTCTCCACCTTGAACTTATGAAACCACAGACCATTCTACAGGTTCCACCAATGTGACACCAGAGGGAGGCCTTGGGGATGTTCTGGGCAAAGCCTGATGACAGCTACCTAGCCTTGGAGCTGGCCTGCATTCTCATGCCTCTGAGAACATGGGATAGATTGCCCAAGCCTGACTGCTCAAAACTGTTCCATTCATTCTCATCATTTTTCAAAAGATCCATGGAATAAGTCTTTACTTCTTTTATCAGTAGTATACAGGGATCCCTGGGTGGCGCAGCGGTTTGGCGCCTGCCTTTGGCCCAGGGCGCGATCCTGGAGACCCGGGATCGAATCCCACATCGGGCTCCCGGTGCATGGAGCCTGCTTCTCCCTCTGCCTGTGTCTCTGCCTCTCTCTCTCTCTCTCTCTCTCTCTCGTGTGTGTGTGTGTGACTATCATAAATAAATAAAAATTAAAAAAATATATATCAGTAGTATACAAAACCTCAATTAGAAAAGGGACAGGTGGGCAGCCTGGGTTGCTCAGCGGTTTGGCGCCGCCTTCAGCCCAGGGTGTGATCTTGGAGACCTGGGATCAAGTCTCCCTGCATGGAGCCTGCTTCTCCCTCTGCCTGTGTCCCTACCTCTCTCTATCTCTGTCTCTGTGTCTCTCATGAATAAATAAATAAAATCTTTAAAAAAAGAAAGAAAAGGGACAGGGCCAGATGGTACTGGCCAACCTTCCACTTAGCACCTAACAATTCAGTAGGCAAGGCCTGGGGTCACTAGCTGAACCTTCCCAGTCAGGGCTCCCATATCATCTACACACTGTACCCTGAGCCCTACCATCTCCAAGCCTGAAGAAATCTCAATAACTCATCCTCAAAACCAGACTGGATACTCCCAGATTTAAAATTTTTCAGTGTGTACTGAAATACTACAAAAGTGTATCTTTCTGGGGATCCCTGAGTGGCTCAGCGGTTTAGCGCCTGCCTTTGGCCCAGGGTGCGATCCTGGAGTCCCGGGATCGAGTCCCGCATCGGGCTCCCGGCACGGAGCCTGCTTCTCCCTCCTCCTGTGTCCCTGCCTCTCTCTCTCTCTCTATCATAGATGAATAAATAAATCTTAAAAAAAAAAAAGTGTATCTTTCCTTCATTATCCAAGTGATCATGAAAATAAATCATGAATCCAGTATCTGCTATTCAAGTTGCAAGGACTTTTAAAAAAAAAGGCACGACCTATAACCAGCATTAAGAAGAAAGCATCTACAGTAAGCACGTTCCGTATTCTGCTTTGGCAAAGTAGCCAATCTGCCCTTAAGGAAAGATTCTGCACAATAATATAGAGTATGGACAGGCTGAGGCTCAGAGGGAAAGTGGGGATGAAAAGAGGAGGCAGTGAGCACAGAAGAACAGGGAGGAAGGGAGCACTCATGGAGAAGTCCCAGTTGTGAACCAGGGAGACTAGAAGCACACGGTATCCAAGTGAGGCCACCGCATGGACACATGGTGTGGCTCTGTGGGAAAGGGCAGGAAGAGAAACAGGGACAGGACTCCTTCACTTATAGTAATCATCTAGTAATCTAGGATGCTGGCAGCAGCAGGGGCCCCAAGAAACAGCGTGAGAGAAGGGCAGGAGACTAAACAGGGTCCATGCCTAAGAGCTCAGGGGAGCAGCAGCAGACAGGACTGAGTGGCACAAGGTCACAGAACATGGAGCTGGGACACTGCACAGGGTCCATAGGCTCAAGAGGCCAGTGGGTTCTAGGGCTGCCAAGTTTGAGGCGTGAGGACGGAGGAGAGACCTGGGGCTCAGTGTGAGGTAGTTCCAGAAGGGTAGAAGAAACTGGGATTGTGAATGAGTTAGTATAGGATGAGGCTCTCAAGGGGTGAGTAGATGAAAGGATGGAGAAAGAGAGACCCTAAATCAAGAGAACAGGAAGGCCACAAGAAGGCCGTTGTAAGAGTAAGCCTGGGCCCATCTGAAGGTAGAAGTCTGTGAGGCAGAGGGAGCAGGAGCTGTGGGTGTCACAGAGTAGAGGCAGAAGCCCCAAACAAGACACTGGGTGAGGGCACCAGGTGGGCCATTAGGTAAAGGGACTGGAAACCAACAGAAAGCATACAGTGGAGGCTACCAGGAATGAAGCCCCGGAATGCATGTGTCCAGAGGGTTAGACACACAGATGCAAAACCAGGCAGGGAAGCAAAGAAAAGATCTAGATGGGAATGGCCACCATCTCCCAAGAGGTCAGAGAAGGCAGCCCCGTCTGGACAAACGGGGCCAGGCACAGAGAAGTCGGGGAAGACAGGAACACAAACACATACTCCTTTCCTGAGGCAATAACCACAGATGTGGAAAGCTCGGGCACCCCAGAATGTCACAAAACCAGTGCAAAGACGGGATTCTACTCAGGCACCCGAGGCTAAGGTCCCTGCCTTATTATATCCTAGAGTGACAGCCCGCTTCAGTGCGTCTGCTGGCTTTCTTACCTAACAGACTACTTGGGAGTGGAGAGGTAAGCCCAACACACATATCACCTTGAAGAATAATCTGGTAAGAAGTGGAAGTGTTCAATACTCACAGGAACAATAAGCCCTTGCCAAGTCAATAAATTAGCTTCATCAACCTGGATGTTACGGAAGTTTTTCATTCCACATTTGCGGATTTCTTCAAGCTCCTGTTGATTAACAAAGCATAAAGGGGTGTCAAACAGGGGAAAGCACCACACATTAAGATCCCTCCTGACTCCCTCAAATTAAAGCGAGTGCCAACACCACTGATGACCAAATTTCAGACTGTGGACCAGACCACACCCAGTCCAGTAAAGAGGCCTGGAGCCACAGTGGTCCCTTCAACCCGTGACCCAGACCAAGATAAGCCCCCACCTTGGTGACCCCTCAGAGCTCAGCGGGACAAACAACTGCCTTCTGCAGGCACATCGCCTCCTCTTTGGGCTAATCACCAGACCTCTCTTTATACACCCTCGGGCCCCTGCACAGGGCAGCCATGCAGCAGGGGCACAAGAAAGGTACTACAGATTTGACTTCTCCCAACCAAGGTTTATTAAGCTGTGGGCCAGATGCTGAGGATATGAAGATAAAACTGGGGACTAGGAGCAAACACATACACACCACGTTTTCTACCCAGGACTGTAAGCTTGATTTCAGAGCTCTGCCTCAGCAAGGACACTCGGTGAAGAGAACAACTCTCCAGTCTGGGATGGGGAGGGGGACAGGAGCCTTTCACTGGGCCTCCACTTCCTCGGCTTCAAACCAGGGGCAGTAAGACCCAGAGTTGAACAAAGCAAAGGGGAAACTCTATTGTGCGCAACAGAATCCTTTGCAAATGAAGGATTACTATATAAACAGTCCATGTGGCAAATGTCATTTTGTCCAGAAAGCATTACCACTGTGTCTTAACTACATCAGAGCCCTGCCTGAGAGGTCTTTAGTCTATAATCGATGGTCACTGGTTTTCCAATTGTGCATCACTGCTTCTCCAACAACTCAAGTCAACACCCGACAGGCATGATGACCCAAGACCCAATGTGTGCTGGCCTGCTCACATTCCCAATATTCCTCCATTCTCAGATACCTGCAGTGACACAATCCCTCTAATGTCCCAACCTGGTCTCTTGTCTTGGTACAAAAGCTTCCTCCACATCTCTTGGGTACCTTCTTCTGCATCACCAGAACACCACTCAGCTGAGCAGGGAGGACAGCTTCCTCAATGGCCCTGGCTTCCTCCTTGTTGGTCCAGCCCACGAACCCTTTTGCAACTGAGAAGCCCCTCTTTGTGTGGTGCTGTGGCTCACAATGGCACAGAGGCTCTAAACCAGCCTCTACTTCGAGCCCAAAAGATCCTTTGTACCCCCACATTCCCATTGCATAGGCAAGGACCAAGTTTACAAGGCCCCCTGGGGGAACAATTCCAGAGGAAGTAGGAGGTGAGCTAGTGTTACAGGTTCTAAGTTGGAGGATGTGTGGTGTGCCTGGCATGGAGTGGGCTGAGAAGGACAGTGTGTCAAATGAACATGCAAAACAGGCCATTGGGACATGCTGGTGCTTCATGGCAGGCGACACCCCCGACCGAGTTTCTTCCCACAGGATGCTGCTGCTTGTCAACCCTAGCTGCCCACCACAACCATCTGGGCTTAGGCCCCGGCCCTGGAAATTCTGGTCCAGCAACTGTGGGGTAGTCTGAAATGGGAATTTTTAACAAGCTACAGTGACAGGAGAGAGCCACTGCCACTGAGAGATGAGCTCCACTTCTAAGTAACACTCAGCTTCCATAAAGAAGCTAGTTGCAGGGCAGCCCTGGTGGCTCAGCGGTTTGGCATCGCCTTCAGCCCAGGGCGTGATCCTGGAGACCCGGGATCGAGTCCCACATCGGGCTCCCTGCATGGAGCCTGCTTCTCCCTCTGCCTGTGTCTCTGCCTCTCTCTCTTGTGTGTGTCTCTCATGAATAAATAAATAAAATCTTTAAAAAAAAAAAAAAAGAAGCTAGTTGCAACGCTTGCGGTCCCTGGAGTGGGGAAGGGGTGGTCTGGTCCCTCTTCCTAAGGCTGCAGAAGGAACAGCATGGAAACTGAGAGACTACTCAACCTGCCAACTGCCATCTGGTCCTCCTGCTAATGCCCAGGACTCACCAGAAACTCTCTCCTGGGGACAATGAAGCCTTCAGGATGAGAATAAATAAATCTCATTCTACCACTCTGCCCCACTCCCCAAACAGCATACAAGTTCCATGTGGGCAAGCTCAAGGGCAGGGATCTAAAAGCCCCCAGAGCTCATGGGCATGCTCAAATACTTGCTTAATTGTCAGGATAGTGAAGGGATGGGAGGCAGGGGACTGGGGAGGGAAAAAAAAGGGCTCTGGGATGGGAAAGGCTCTCCATGTATTTGATTTTCTGGTCCCTGCTGTAAGATACTAGTGTAAGATTCCTGGCTAGAGACAGAAGATATGATGTCACTTAAGAGCTGAACCTACCAAGCTATCAGAAATATTTTATTTTATTTTATTTTATTTTATTTTATTTTATTTATTTTATTTTATTTATGATAGTCACACAGAGAAAGAGAGAGAGGCAGAGACACAGGCAGAGGGAGAAGCAGGCTCCATGCAGAGAGCCCAATGCAGGACTCAACCCCGGGTCTCCAGGATCGCGCCCTGGGCCAAAGGCAGGCACTAAACCGCTGCGCCACCCAGGGACCCCCTATTTTATTTTATTTTATTTTATTTTATTTTATTTTATTTTATTTTATTTTATTTTGTTTTATTTTATTTTATTTTATTATTTTATTTTATTTTTTAAAGATTTTATTTATTCATTCATGAGAGACACAGAGAGAGGGGCAGAGACACAGACAGAGGGAGAAGCAGGCTCCATGCAGGGAGCCCAACGTGGGACTCGATCCTGGAGCTCCACGATCACACCCCAGGCCAAAGGCAGGCGCTAAACCGCTGAGCCACCCAGGCATCCCCCTATCAGAAATATTTTAAACCAAATATGGACAGGGAAACAATTCCAGATAGAACTTTGAAATTAGACAACCAATGAGATTATATTCAATTTTCATGGGAGGAAATGAATTTTAAAATAATCTGTACATATACTATATGGCTTCAGAAATCCACATACTAATGATAGAAAGTATTAGGAATAAACACAAGAATGTAAATTTCAAAAGAGTTGCAAAAATATGGCAAGATGAGACTCAACTGTAAGATGACAGTGAAAACCTGCATCTTGCTCAAGAAAAAGGAAGGAGTGGGCACTGTGGGCAGAGGTGCAGAGAGGGCACCTACTGGTACTCTGATATCAAGAGATAGATACATGAACACTGGGGCCCCTGACTGGCTCGGCTGGTAGAAAACACAACTCAATCTCGGGCTCATGAATTCAAGCCCCACACTGGGCATGGAGACTTAAGAGAGAAAGAGAGAGGTACATGCACAAAGATAAAAGCCAGACTGTGGGAGAGAACGCCATCCCTCCTGCCACCTACCAGAGAAGAAGGGTGACGCTAATGTTGGCAGAACTGGGAGCCTCAAGGACTCCAAAGTTCGGTTATCAATTACTAGTCATCAGATAAACTCTCAACTTACCTTGCCATCAAGTTAAACTCACCAAAGAGCGGAAGAGGCAAACTCCTTTGCATAATCCTAACCAACAAGGAAGAAGTGATTATAAGGCAGAAGTGAGAGAAACCAAGATAAACAAACAAGCAAGCAAACCCTATAATCTCCAGGGAATGTTGGGCAGCCCTAGGAGAGCATTTCTCAACAGGGTGGCTCCAGTATTCAGGCAGGACTCTGCACTTGAGCATCCCGAGCCCTGCCCAATACATGCCAAGCATTGTGACACCACCCCACCCTGATTTCCCAACATCCTCTAGAGCCCCAGCTCCCAAGAACCACTGGCACCATCATGGGCTAGGACACTAAAAGTCCTGCATTGCACAAGCAGGTCCTCCAATCAAGAACTCTTTGGCCTAAAATGCCAATCACACTTCCTTCCACCAAGGAGAGCCTGAAGAAGATGAATTCAGGGGATTCCTGGGTGGCTCAGCGGTTCAGTGCCTGCCTTTGGCCCGGAGTGTGATCCTGGAGTCCCGGGATTGAGTCCCGCATTGGGCTCTCTGCATGGAGCCTGCTTCTCCCTGCTGTCTCTGCCTCTCTCTCTCTCTCTCTCTCTCTCTCTCTCTCTCTCTATCACGAATAAATAAAATCTTAAAAAAAAAAAAGATGAATTCAAGTCATTCAGAGAAAAGACAGATTCATATGAAGGTCTGAGACTGGAAAAGGCAAGATGACTCAAGAGGCTTGACAAATCTTCAAGCAAAAGTGCACCCCTATAACAGAATGATGCTGAGAAGAACTGTGGATGGAATTTAAAGAAACCAATGTAGAGGATCCTTGGATGGCTCAGCGGTTTAGTGCCTGCCTTCAGCCCAGGGCATGGTCCTGGAGTCCTAGGATCAAGTCCCACATCAGGATCCCTGCATGGAGCCTGCTTCTCTCTCTGCCTATGTCTCTGCATCTCTCTCTCTTTCTCATGAATAAATAAATAAAATCTTTAAAAAATAAAAATAAACCAATGTAAATTCAGAGTTCAAATTCAAAAGGATATTATTAAAAATGATGGTAAAAGAGGGACCTGACAAAAGAAAACTGTGAGAGTGGACCAGCTCTAGAACACAGGAAGACCACAGCCAAGAATGACAGGAGCTTACAAAATATGCCCACAAAAGTTTGTTTCAGTTCTGCTCGGAGCAAGAAGCTGTCCTGGGTCAGCTGCTCCAGGCTGATGGCGCCATACTGACAAATCAAAAGAGCATGAGGGAAAGCAGAAGGAGCCAACTAGCTCATTCCTTCTCCTGGCAGGGGGGTAGCAGGCTTCCCAGCCAGGGTAAGCAGTGAGGGAGAAAGACAGCAATGCTTCTCAAAATGAGGTCCGTTTCTGAGCCCAGAGGTGGATCTCAGTATATTGATGGAACCCAAAAGAGCATGGGTGTGCTGCCCAGCTCTTCAAAAGGGGAAAGCCCAGGGATCCATGGGTGCCAGGGTGTGATCCTGGAGTCCCAGGATGGAGTCCCCACATCGGGCTCCCTGCATGGAGCCTGCTTCTCCCTCTGCCTGTGTCTCTGTCTCTGTGTCTCTCATAAATAAATAAAT